TATATTTCACAATCTCACAGGTTATGACCCTAGCTTTGAGAGCGCAAGTCAAGAGGAAACAGACCACAGAACTACAAAGATTGTCCTTCAGAGTGATGACTGCGACTTGCTACTTGATATGAGGGCACTTAACCACCAAGATGTAGGCACGAAGTTTAATATTTTCTTCAGTAAGGTGGACAAGTATTTTGAGGAACAGATACTTGCTGTTGATGACAGACGACGTGGTAATGAGCTGCATATGTCTTTGGCCTTGTCTATCGAAGACTTGCTTTGTCAAGTTAGAAATAGACTACCTCCAGAAACTTTGAAACACTAAGACTACAGTTTCACCCTTCCAAGCCATTTGCAAAAACATCTCTTCATCATACTGGACGTTTTAATGTCAAATTTGGTGTCCAATCCAGACAAGTAAGGGCTCACCATATCGATTCTCACTATGTGGCTTGTCAGTTTAAATACCTCAAAGAGTACTATGTTAAGTTCAGGGATGAAGTGTTGTTTGCTTGTCTAGACGATAAAGCAATTGTGCCTGTGGGTGGAACCTGGGTTACCTATATCAACAGGTGTAAGAGGGCATAACAAAGTCCTGGTGCCTTTCACAGATAATGCTCCAACACTCAGTGAATGCTGATCATGATTTTCACATTGGAGGTATTGTCCCATCAGTAGTCCTGATACCAGACGTACCAACACATGCAAACGACAGTTTCTTCAATGGCAAGTGCTTCGTAACCAGCAAAGATAAGGTATTTGAGCCATCAACCCCTTTCAGACACGCCTCAGAACTTATGCGTATTCTCAGAGAGCATTATTCAGACAACGATGTCACTTGCAAGTTCCTGTGTTAGTTCTAATGACTGATGGTGGCCCAGATCATAGGGTGACCTATGAAACTGTGAAGCTCTCTTTGGCTGAAGTATTCATTCAACTTGACCTGGACATACTCATAGCCCTGCGAACAGCGCCTTGCCACAGCTGGGTCAACGGAGAGGTGTATGTCGGAACGCAAAGCGATGCCAGACAACAGGAAAAACGCATAAAACATGCCTCATCACTAGGCAATACGAAATGCTGCATCTCTACATCCTGAACTAAAAGAAGCATTTGGAGAATGTATGACGCCTGTTATAGATTCAGTAAATCATCGTGAAACTTAAAGATGAACCAATCAGTGCCTATACAGGTGTCACCACTGAAGAAATCGATAGAGATTCGGGAGCTGTGAATCTTGTATTACCTCCTGGTCCTATTAACTTCAGCCACAGCAGCAGTTCTCACGAAGTGTAAAACTCTTCAGGTATTAAAATAGTTTAATCTGAATTTAGATATATAAAAGTAGATAAATAAAACTATATATAAATATAGGCTATATATGTAGCCTTTAAATCAACGTGTTTCCTAAATTATCTACATTTGAAAGTTAAATTGCCAACAGCAAGGTGGACATAATTTTACCTTGGCAGATTTTTTTTAATGTTCTCCATTTGGCACTGGTTTAAATTCATTTTAGAATAGAATAGTTTATTTACAGTAAATAGGCCAATGGCCCAAAGATACATTATAAAATACAATGATATATATACAGTAAACATACAAATAATATACAATAAACCTTCGAGTACATTATTATGTAAAATAAAAATATGCATGTGTAAATAAAAATGAAAATTAACAATAAACACTGATTATTTATTGTCTAAAGTTGACTGCGTCAGTACTTCAAGGGGTGATTTATGTAATTTGAAATAGAGATTAAAAATCCTGAAAAAGCCTTAAATTTTATCAGAAGTAAACTAAACTTTTTCAAACCTTTCGATTTAGGTACAATAACATCCATTTTAAGTTTAATCAAAATCGGTTGAAAACTAAGAGAGTAATAGCATATTCAAGATTTTGGGGCAAGGGCAATAACTCTGCTTCTAACCGTCGAAAATAGCTCAAATTCGAACTTGATCTTTGTTTTATGAATATGTATACACATACCGAATTTCATTTGATTCCATCAAAAAATCTAGTTTTTAGAGCGTTTACAAGCAAATGTTGACGGACGGATGGACAGGGGTGCCGACAACATACATCCACATAGAGAGATGTGGGCGTATAAAAAGGGACAAAATAATTCTGAGCATGATTTATAGAGGTCAATACCGATTCCTACTGCACCCGCAGCCGTCCCCGGTTGTTTTAAACATTTTTGAATTTCGTCAACAGTGATGGGCTCGTTGAGTGAACAGTATCGACATTCAGAGTTGCGTTGCATTCTAATATGGGGTTTACTCTCTGAGTAACTGGATTCAAAACATTACTGAAATGCATAAACCATTATTTTGGAGTTATATTATCTGAAATTTTAGTTCTGGGACGAAATGATTTTACCGTTGCACAAAACTGATTAGGATTTTCAAGATTGTCATTTAGTTTCTCAAATAGATATTGACTATAATCATCTTTCTTGGCTTTACATAATTCTTTGAATTTATTTTTGCTTTTATTGTAAGCAACCAAATTAGCAGTGTAATTAAACGTTCTGAACTTATTAAGATAGTAAAATATTTCTTTCTTTTTGATCTCGCAATCATTATCAAACCAAGAAATTATGAAAACATGACTGTATGCATTGTGTAAAGCATGATAGTGCAAGATCAGATGATTTTGACAATTATCGAATTCTGTCTTAAAACAATTAACATTTTCTGAGAATAAACACTTAAATAACTCGTCATGCTGTTGCTGCCATAAATATTTCTTGTACGGTAAAGTTCAAAATTCAACTCTCCATCAAATCTGCCGTTTAACATATGAATATTAAATACCGAACATATCCTTATTAGCTTTAAACCAAAATTGTTTACCTCATTGTCTTTCAAATTTCTGGGTTGTTCAAAATCGTCAATATCATAATCGGCATCGTCTAGTCCCGGTAAAAACTTTGTTCTGCTATCTATCAGGTAATCTCTTAGGTGTCCGACTCGTGCATTAAAATCTCCACTTTAAATCAAGCTGGCATCCGGACGATCAAGCAATATATCGACTAGGTTGTCCTCCAAAACGTCATATCGACATCCTTCAGTATGCACTTTACTTCCTTCGGGAGCTATATAAATTGCACAAAACACAACATCTTTTGATCAGCCAAAAAGAATTAAAAAGTAAATATATTGATTCTGATGCCTGAACTTTTAGTCTTGAAATTCCCGCTGATAAACTCTGTTTATAAAGAACAGTTATCCCACCCCTCTCTTTTCCATCTCCACGAATACACAGTTCGCAATCATAGTTAGGCAAAATGTCACGATAAGCAACACCTTCCCCACACCAGGTCTCTATAAGTAGTATAAGGCATATGACATCAAAACTGGTTAAATAACGAATAAACTCAGCTTCTTGTAACTTTGACTTGAGTCCGTGAACATTCCAACTCACACACTTAATGTTCTCAATATACTCAACACCAACCAACTTTTGTACTGAACACTTTTGAGTAGGTGAGCATGGTTCTGATTGCAATTTTAATCCCTTTCCTTGGATCTTGAATATTGACTCGCTTGCCAAATCGTAGGTGAAGGTCTCATTATCAATAATCAGTTTATCATATCTCAAAAAAGCTCTCACCTCCCCATTTCTTTCTTTTGCTTCTATCATTTTCGGAATCAAGGCTTTTCGTATGTTACGAACTAGCTCACTAAAATCTTCGGAAATTTTAAGTGCAGTGTCACCTGCCCTAATCTGAGCTGTTGCACTTTTCAGAACTTTATTTCTGTCCTTTAATTTATGAAAAACAATTAACATAGGTCTCGGTTTATCCGGTTTGTGTTGTCGTTTGCCAAGACGTTGAACTTTTTCGATTCCTATCCTATTTTCACCGGCTTCACACTCTACTCGAATTCTCCAGATAAAACATCTCTTACCAGTTCTTCGCTATCTTCAGTATGTCCACACCCTTTGATGCCATAGATTCCTTTCCTTTAATTTATTGTCTAGCTTATCCTATTTCAAGTTTGTAGCCATAGCCTCTTTTTGCACCTCACTCAAATCTGTTTTCAATTGTAGTAGCTCTTCCTTCTTTCCTGTACCTCACACTTTAGATCTGCAATATCAGCTTTTAGAGATTGGAGAATAGATCATGTGTCCACATCCTTGCTGCTTTCACTTAGGAAGACTATTTCTCCTGTTTTCGAAATTTGTCCTTGCCTTGTTGTTGGGCCGGGATTGCTCTCGACATCCCCTGATAACATCAGTAGCAAACTGCAAAGTATCAATGCTGAAATTATTGCTGCTATTTTTCCGAAATATCACACTTTATGTCGAAAACAACTTATTTGTAGTCTCGATTTCTTGTCCCATTATAACAGCTAACCACTTCATGTATGATTGAACCTTGGAGCTCACAAAGACACGTCCGTACACTTCAAAATCTAATCTCTTAATTTTACTGTACATGTATTTTATTTTCAGGATTCCATCAAGACCCATTCTCAAACCACACACTACAGTTTCCAGCTTCGAAAATGTTCTTGTGAAGGCTGTGTCCACTGCACATTACATCCTTGTCGATTTAATAGAGATGTGCATTTCTTGCCTAATCAAATGCCTAACGGGGAACATTGCAAGAAATTTGACGAGGTAAAATAATTAAGAGCAACCTTATTGATTAGCTTAGATACAAAAACAGTTTATGTAACTAAAGTTCGTTTTGTGAAACTGTTGGCGAATGTGTCCCTTTAACTGTTGTTTTCAGCTTTCTCAAGTCACGGTGTATCTTAAAAAAACTTTTTCACATACACCTGCTTTCTATGATAAGGAACACCATTGTTTTATGTACAAGACATACATATATGCAATAGTGTGAACAATTTGCCACATAGAGATACTGTTGTTTTGAAAAACTAAATACTAAATTACAGTTGTTGTCATTCAGGTTTATGGAACCACAATCACAGACCTTCTGCTAAAAGTCATGACAAGATGATGACTCTAGGGAGGCAGATAAATTGAACATGGACTTACTGAAAGCAGGAAAAGTGAGAAGTGCCATTCCCTGCAACGAATGTGAGAAACCAAGCTGTATCTACAGTCAACTCAAGTTATCAAGGGACCAGGTAGAGTATTAATTTCTTTATGGAAAATTGCCTGTGGTGATCCAGTAGCACCAGTAAAGGCAACCATTGATTTATAGCTTCAAAGGAGATGAGGAATTTGGTAGCATGTGGGACCACCGTGGCGGTGGAAGAGCTCAGGTTCAATTCTTGACATATAGGTCACCCAGGTAGCTATGTAAAGGGGGTTGGAGTGGAAATGGGTGACATCCTCTTGCAGTATCCATTAATGAAATGAAATTAAATGAATGTAGTTTTACGTCCTACTCTTCTCCACCTTGTGGGCTAATGAAGACGGGCAACGCCATGCAGGGTGCCATGAGGGAAATTTTGCCAGGACAGCGGCATTAGCCTGCTCTTTTTCGATTTCCAACTGTCGAGGGATCTTTAACGTGCACAGCCTGTAGCACACGGGGCCTCGGTTTATTGTCCGAACGACTAGACGCTTTTTCCATGTCAGCCCCTCTTACCTGCATCACTGAGAGGGGAAAACCGGGTAGTATCCATTAATGAAATATTAACTGTTTTGTAAGGGTATTGTTGATATTGAATTACATTCATGATTTAGGGGTGAGGTGTTTACTGTTGGAATGGGTGTGAGACTTTCAAATTTGCTGGAGCCCAGGTTCAATTCCCGACTGAGCACTTCTGCTCTCCACATGCAGGTTGCCCTGGTAGCTTGATAAAGGTATTGCCAATCAACAAATTCATATTTTTCTGCTCTTATCGTTTTAGGAAGCTGTTCTTCAACAAATAAAGGAAGCCTATTGGTTCATTTGTGGTGATGGTCTGGATTCAGATGCTGTAATCACACGTTGTTGTTTGACTTGTACATCGCCCATGGAGTCACAGTACTTCAGCGCGTGTTCTGGTTGTGGACTCCCTGCTGTGTGCCACTATTGTGGAACTTTGGAGAATCTTCTTGATGACTATGAGGATTATAAGGAAGACTTGTACTCTAAATTCAGTTCAGTGCGGCCTCTCTGTGCCCCATGTCGAGCTAAAGGCCTTGAAGCTAAGACCTGGGGACAAATAATAAAAAATAAAAAGGAAAATCCTACCTTAAACATTCGATCCAGAGTCTATACTATAATAACTGAATAACTGAAATATGGACTCATTAATTATAACTTGAAAACTCTTAACACCAATATATTTCTGTTTGCAAATGGTTATTTTTATTGGTGTATATATAAGTGTTAAGAGTTTTCAAGTTATAATGTTTTTAAAGGGTCCCTCGAAGCAGATTTAAGTCTTGTCAGTGTAAATATTTTACAAATATTAGTTTTTTGTACCAGTTGAAGTTTAATATTACAATGGTTCAGTTACTGTTCTATAATATGTTTTAAGTTCAAGATGTTGTTAATTTAAAGTGCCCTATAAAATAAAGAGTTTGTATTCAAACACATATATTTTTGCTCATCCAGGTGCCGTTGAAACATAAACACAGTTAGTATAATATATTTTCATCTTAGAGAGTTTGACTAAGTTTGCAATATTAACTGTAGTTGAGGAAGGTGTTAACAAAGTTGCATTCAATTTTTCCATTTTAGATTGCCCAATGTTCATATAAGTCAAACCTCGATTACCCTTGAAAATATAACTGACTGGTTGTATATTTGTTTTGACGGTTTTTGACATGTTTGTCTCTTTAAAGAAAATATCTCTTTTACATAGCAAAATTTCCAAATATCTCCCGTAAGACACACCAGAATCTACAGAACAAAAATAATTTGAAACCCGCTTGAATTTTGACACAAAAAAAATCTGCAGAACAAAAATATTTTCCTTAAAAAAAAATTAAAAAAATTCGCTCGCTCGCTTCATTTTTTTTTCAGCTGAAAATCCGTAGACCAATATTTGTTCCATTCAGGCCCGTAGCCTGACCAGTACTCCTGGGGGGCAAACGTGCAATCGAGTATTTTAGATTCGGGCTTATTTTTGTTAAAGCACACAAGTTATAATACGTTACATTTTTATTGCCGTTTTAGTTTAAACGTAGTGGGGTATGTTTTATGGCAAAACGTTAAACAAATACGTCCAAGTTAATTTTCTGGGTACGCTTCCTGTTGAAGGAAAGAAGAACAAAATTGCGCTGGCGAAGCTGAGTCATAGATCGTCGTTGTGGTGAGTCAACGCGAGTAAGAGTTGAAAAGCTGCTTTCACACACAGCGGTAATAGAATCGAATGTGGCAACGCTTGCAGCCAGTACAATTAATTTAGGGGAAGCCAATTTCTGCTCGTATACTTTTTTGAAGAACAAGATTGGAGTCCTGCTTTTCTGTCTTGGCTACGTTATCTTGGAGAAATTGTTTTGACACCTCCTCAAGTTCAACGACAGAGGGGATTTCGACTCCAAGGTTGTCAGGGCCGTCAGCTCAAATCGAACTCAATTGTATCAAATGTAGACAATTATGTTTATTGTACACTTCAAACATTGACCTTTCATAGCTAAGTTAAGTAAGTAAACCTATAATCAATAGCTATAGGCAGGCTATAAATGCATACTTTTGATTTATTTAGATCTAGACTGTACAAATAAATTTACATCCACAAATGTTGTATCTGTCCGTTACCATTTGTAATAACTAGGGTAATTATATACACTATATGAAGTTTGGATATTAGGAAGTAGAGTACCGTAGGACTAACTCAAAACTATGGTATAGTATGTTGTGAAATTAGTTGGCCTGTAGTCGTAGACTATATAGGCCTATTTTATTTCTATTAAAAGCTAACATTTACAGAGTATAAATAGGTACCATGACCATTTTAAGAATGGACATTAAAATGATCTAATAGAAGACAACTTTTTGGACACTTACATGGTTTAATTATCAATAATTATTTACATTTGAAAGTTCAATATTCAAACTAATTTTAGTGATATTATGCGATATAATACATATAGAAAACACATATATATGAATAATTTAATAATAAATAAATAATAATAACTGTAAATCTAGAATCAAAATTTTATATTTTAGCCATCAGCTTTCAAATCTGCTTTAATACCAACCACAGCCTTAACTGCTGTACCAAAGACTAAAGTTGAATCCCCTACTAATCAGTGGGGAATGAATCCAGCATTAGCTTCCACTGGTGGTACATTACCACGGCTCTTTGCCACACAACAACCACGTGTAGATGATGACATATTTAGTGACCCTGAGAGTAGTTTGTATGATTATCAGCAAATGGATGATGCTGGGTAAGATAATTTCATCTTATTAATGATAAATTATCTTATATTTATGTTGATTAATCTTATATTTATGGTGATTTATCTTATATTTATGTTGATTTATCCTATATTTATGTTGACTTTTTATTTTATATTTATGTTGATTTATTTTACATTTCTGATGATTTATCTTATATTTATGTTGATTTATCTTATATTTATTATGATTTTTATACGCCCACATGAATATGTGGTCGCATATTGTCGTCGCCCCTGTCCGTCGGTCCGTCCGTCCGTCAACATTTCTTGTGAGCACTATAGAGACTACAGTTTTTATCTGATTTTGATAAAACTTGGTGTGATGCTTTAGATTGATAAGATCTCGGTCAAGTTCGAATTTGACATATTTTCGATGAACGGTTTTTGAGATATTGCCCTTGATTTTGTTAAAACGCATCGAAATTTGTTAAAAATAGTTTGTGAGCAGGATTGAAGCTACAGTTTTCAACCGATTCTGATGAAACTTGGTGTGATCATTGGAATTGATAAGATCTCGGACAAGTTCTAACACGACGCATTTTCGATGAACGGTTTTTGAGTTATTGCCCTTGACTTTGTTGAAACGCGTTGAAATTTGTTTAAAATAGTTCGTGTGCAGGATTGAAGCTACAGTTTTCAACCGATTCTGATGAAACTTGGTGTGATCATTGGAATTGATAAGATCTCGGACAAGTTCTAACTTGACTTCTTTTCGATGAACGTTTTTTAAGTTATTGCCCTTGACTTTGTTAAAATGCGTCGAAATTTGTTAAAAATAGTTCGTGAGCAGGATTGAAGCTACAGTTTCCAACCGATTATGATGAAACTTGGTGTGATCATTGAAATTGATAAGATCTTGGACAAGTTCTAACTTGACGCATTTTCGATGAACATTTTTTAAGTTATTGCCCTTGACTTTGTAAACACGTGTTCCTACTGGAAACACTTTTAGAACCTTGATTTCTTAATTGCAGTATTGATTCCAATTTTCAGCACCAGGTTTATACCATGTTTTGGAAACAGATCCTAATGATTTATATGCTGTGCCGAATAAACCCAAATTCAGAGTAGGTTAACATTAAATTTAACACCAGTTTCAATTCATTTGATTACATTTGTTGATGCTAATTTGAGTCATCATCTCTTTTACAGAGCTAGATTTATCTAATGTTTCATGTACTGATAAAGTAAACTTTTATTAAATTACTAGACTACATGCTTATAAAGAATAATAGGACGTGATATTTTCAAGGATTGATTTTAAGACATGGCAATCAATGCATTATAGAATTTAACTTAAGGCAAAACTAGTAATGTGTTTTGATGATAATAGCCTGAGAGTTTAGAAGCCATGCCACCACAAATCCTGTGATTTTGTTTCTTTCAGAAATCTGTTATGATTGAAGATGAAATTATACCCAACAGAGATGAGAGAGATTTACAAGGAGCATCTTTAAGAACAACACATGGTGTTAGAGAAGCTATGCAAGCAGTTCATGATCTCGATGAGACTGTAAGGAGACTTTTTACTCTTTCTCCATTGTGAAAACCCATGTCTGTCTGTCTGTCAGCCAATTTCTGTCTGTTAAATTTAACTCCAAACGTTTTTGATAGATAAAGATAAACATAAACTTGTATAATCATAACATAAAGATGATCATAAACAGAGTTCACCTTGGTGATATTGAATTGTTGATTTTTAAAAAAATTGATCTGAAAATGTACCTATATCTCTTAAGTAAGCTTATACTACCAATTTTCTTAAACTAGGTATAAGCGTATGCAATCCTGATAGGAGGTCAATGTTTAAATTTGAACAGTGTGAAATGATTTGATTTGCTTTGTAAAAATTGGGTGCATTGAAAATGTGATTTGTTTCACGTCTCAAAAGATTTACATGAAACTTGGGACATTCTGTTTTTTTAGTAGGTCAAATTTGCGAAAACTATACACCAAACTAGTGTAGGAATTTGAGTAAAATTAGAGTCTAATTGTAGAGAAGTATGTCTTCTATGTATTCTAAAGGTTTCAACTAATAATATCAAGCCAAACACCAAAACTAGGTCAAACTGCTTAATCAACAATTAGTACTTTTTAAGACAAATTCAGTTTGATCAAGTAGATACATAGATATAAAAGTGGAATACCCCTTTGTTACTGACAATATACTAATGCCAGTGTATTTCAACATGATTCATCTTTAGCCTTTTTCTCAACAGTTTGTATATTTCACATTCACTAGCAGTTTCCTTGAAATCAGTTTAAGATATTATCTTTTGTACTACAAATTGAGAAAACCAATAACATAAAATAATTTTTTGTAAGTTGTTCATGGAATAAATAATTTTGACAGTAAATATACTCACAAGAAAGAAATTAATTCTGTACAGTATTGTTTATAAAGCACTTATCATCTTTATTCTAGACACCCAAATCTCATCGGAAGTCTAAAAGTTTAAGTCTGCCTGGAAGTAAGAGAGGATCTGGCAGAAAATGTAAGACAACTAAATCTACTTTATTTCTATGACCTATTATTCCATGTTGATAGATATGTCGTGTCTTCCACTTTTTTTTGTAACAACTTTTGGTTCTTTAACACTTTAAACGCCAATTCATCCAGGTATGTTCTGTAACCTCCAGTTCATCCAGGTATGTTTTATAACCGCCAGTTCATCCAGGTATGTTCTATAACCACCAGTTCATCTGGGCCATGAACCTTAAAGATGGTCATAAACACATAGCGCTCTATTATAACACAAATTATAATAACTGAAAAAAATTTGTCTTACTTATTTATGTTTGAAAATAAAAAAACTATTATGGCAGATATTTCACTGAAACTCTGACCATTTTTAGAAAAATTGTGGGAAATAATCTG